GACGTTCCACCCACGTGTGACCCCGCAAATTTAAATTCGGCTTCCCCGTACCCGCGGGTAACGCGTACGGCCCCGTGAAAGTTTTTTACGATAAGTTAATATCTCGGGAACATGGAGTCTAGGAGGCTGAAATTTTAGGGTAATGACCCCCTGCTCACGCTCAACCTTGCTCATCCAAATTTAGCGTTCTCGTGCTCTCGGGTACTACCTACGGCCTCGTAAAAATTTTGGCGGGTAAACTGTTAACTCGAGAATCGCGGAAAGATATTCACCCTTCAAGGTTTCGAATTTAGCTTTTATACGCTGATGCGTGAAATTTTTAACTGTTTTCCAATGTTTGAACTGTTTGTGCATAGACTAAAGTACAAAACAGTGAAAATCATTGATAGACAATCGTTCGATGGGCTGAATTGCACAAAACGCATGATCGCACCGGCTAGTCTGGTGCGCATTGCTCTTTTTTTTTTTCTGTGCATGCAATAAGTATCGCTAATGCGTGTGACGATCAAGCAGGCGATGCTGCTCTCTCGTGCAGTTGGATGCTCAGTGGCATCGTTCACTCGTTCCAATGGTAAATTGCTATTGCTCGCATGCTGCGAATTATCCCGCCATCAGTCTGCTTCTAGCCAACTCTCCGTACAAGGAACTGGACTTGATCCACGGGCAAGCAATGCCTGTGCAATTCGTTCATTCGTTTCGATGGTAAATTGGTGCCGGGGTACATGCCAGGAAGCCAAGCTCGCATCTAAGTGTAACTTTTCATGGAGAGCAATTTGCCAAGCGCCTACACCTGAGCAGTCCTCCGGAGAGAATCTATGCCAGCGGCTGATTATTATTGGTACAGGCTACTTTAAAATGCCAGAAGCCATCTGACAGGTGCTTGGTGATTGCTGTTGGCATTTGCTACCCTCGCCTAACTTGAATCGAACAGCGCGGGGTTATTGGAGACCCTCAAATGCATTGAAAGAATGTATCTCGGGACCGCACCAAATGTGGGATATGTTGATTCTACGTACACCACGTGCCCCTGCGAGCTCTCAGCAGCGTTACAGTCCCCATTCGCAGTGCTCCTTTCACTCACGTCCGAGTGCCACGGGATTTGGGGGTTGTGTATGTGGGGTAGTGTGTGTGTGTATGGCTTTTGTGCTGTAACTTTGCCCTCTGTTCCTGGGATCGTAGTTTGCTGGGACAAGGATCCATCCGGGATATCGATTGCGTTGGCTGTGCGGAGCGGCAATCTACACGCGGCGCGTGTGTTAATGCATGTGGGGCTGAGTTGTCGGTTGGTTGGTTTGGGTTGCGTGATTGAAGTAGTTGCTGGTTTTGCGCGGCGTGTTTTTGGGTCTGCGGCGGTGTGTGTTCATTGGAACTCAGCTATGCGGGGGAGGGG